GTGCGAGATGTGTTACAGAAGGTTGGGAGAGCGAATTACATCACCAACTTCGATGCTAGGAGTGGGTATTGGCAAATACCAATGGAAGAGGAGTCACGTTGGCTGACTGCCTTCGTTTGTCATGAAGGACTTTATGAGTTCAAACGCATGCCGTTCGGTTTGAAGTCAGCTAGCATCACTTTCACTCGAGCTATGAGAGAACTCAACTCACTCAAGGTATGCAGGAATTTACCGAGGCCTACATTGATGACATCGCAGTGTTCTCAACAACGTGGCAGGAACATTTACAACATCTGCGAACATTTTTCAACATTGTCGCACGATCTGGGTTAACGTTTAACCTTGAAAAATGCCGAATCGCTGAAGCGAAACTACATTTTTTAGGTCATGTCATAGGGTCGGGGACCATTGGAGTAGATCCGACTAAATTGCAGGTGCTTGATAACATCCGACCGCCTACAACAAAGAGAGAGGTACGAAGGATCATTGGGTTTTTCAATTATTTTCAGTGTTTCATACCAAATTTAGCAAGGACGTTAGACATCATTACTGAATTGACGAAGAATAAGGTGCCAAATCGTGTTCAGTGGACAAACGCGCATCAAGATAGTCTTGATAAGATCATTCAACAACTGAAAAGCGTAACAACATTGAATACCATCGATTATGCTCGAGATTTCGGGCTAATCACAGATGCCAGTGATCATGCTGTAGGATGTTGTCTTGTACAACAGGATGATAATGGTTGCGAGAAACCTATAGCGTTCGCCAGTCGTAAATTGACAGATACTCAACGTCGGCGGGCAACAATCGAGAGGGAGGCGTATGCCATTATATGGGCTCTACAAAAGTATCGGCCATGGATTTGTATGTCGACGATACACGTTTACACCGACCACAACCCATTGACATATTTAACCGAATCCAAAGTTCTAAAAGTTCTAAACTGATGCGATGGGCTCTCGCATTACAAGAATATGATCTACGCTTCACCTATAGGGCAGGTAACCGGAACGTTGCAGACTTCCTGTCCAGGTTGCAAGAGGATGGAGGTACAAGGTAATGAATATTCCTCCCCTAGGAATATTCATCATGTTGGGTGAGAGGTATGTCAAGGTTCAGTGTAGCGCTATACGATTTAAATGGATAACCAGTAAACAAGTAATTAATATCTCGTGGCCGTGGTGATTTCAAGTTAAAAAAACGTTTAAAAAAAAAGTTGGTTAAAAATATTGAACTGCTCTTCAAGGACAAATAATTATTAATAACTCAGTTTGCGTGAGTTATTAATAACTTGTCGCAATTTCTGAACATGGGAGTGATAGCGGCCAAACGTCTATAAAAGCGCTGGGAAGGTCCCGTCAACAGGCTCAGAATTTCAGTTCAGGAATTGTTGTCGTCGCTAGAATTATCGTGGAGTCTCGGAAGTTGAAGTGGTAGATTCGTGAACCGATGATTTGTGAAATATAGAGATTTATATATTTAATTATTTAAAGATATTTACTCATAACGTTGTTTAATTAATTGATTGGAGATATTGACTCATAACGTTATATATTTAATTATTTAAGGATATTTACTTATAACGTTGTTTAATTAATTAATTGGAGATATTGACTCTTAACGTCAGTTTGTAAGTATTGTTACTTGTCTGACATTATAAACAGTTCTTTTACTTGTAATAGAGAAATTGTTGCAACGTACTTGTTCTTGTTGCGAGGTTGAAATAATAATAGAAATTAAAGAACGAACCCTTACACATATATTTATCCCACCATACTCTGAAACATTATTTTAAGCACACTCAAACCAACCAATTAAGCATAATAATACATATATTGTAGAACCGCGTTTTAAACTTCACAAAGCAAAATTTTTGGTAGCACGCATAATTACACAACCACACTCAACCAAAATACCGTGCCGCGTAGTGAACATAACAAACAAATCAATTACAATCAAACCGTACACAAACATAGCGACAATTGAACACATTGGAATCAATCAACAACCTATGATGCGTGTAGCAAAGAAAGATCACAACCAAATTAATCAACCAAAGTTCAGTCAGCATTACTTACCATCACATCACTTCGTTAGAGAGCAGTGATGACGTGATCAACATTTCAGACCGAAAAACTCAGTTTAATATAACGAAGTTCAACAAACTTCAACGTTCTACCTTAGAAAGTTGTGACGATGTGATTAATGACTTAGGATTACAAATCGAAATGAATAAACATTCTAAGGAAGATATAATAATGTTAAAACAATGCATAGCAAACAATAAAGACGTTTTTGCAAAATCGTTATCAGATCTATCCTGTTCTGACTTAGTTTATCATACCATAGATACCGGCGATCATAAACCCATTCGCAAACGTGTATACCCAGCAAACGCAGAAAACAAGAAAGAGATTACAAAGCAGTGCAATGAATTTTTGAAATTAGGATTTATCAAAGAATTAGTATCACCATGGAGTGCAAGCGTATTACTCGTTCAAAAGAAAGATGGCACTAAACGATTTGTTGTTGATTATCGCAATTTGAGCCAGATTACTAAACAATTATTTTTTCCTTTACCAACTTTTGATGATGTTGTAGAAAGTCTTTCCAATGCAAAACCAAACATTTTCTCAGTTTTAGATTTACGTTCAGGTTTCCATCAGTTACTTCTTGATCCTGAAACAGCACACAAAAGCGCATTCAGCACACACGACGGACGTTACGAGTTCACAAGACTTCCTCAAGGACTTGCCAACTCACCATTTTCATTTCAGTTACTAACTCAATCAGTTTTAAAACGTTTAACAAACATCACATGTTTAGTATATGTTGATGATATCATTTGTTTTTCTAACGGAATGAAAGACCATGTCAAACATTTAAATGAGATCTTTAAACGTTTTCGTGACGCTAATCTGAAATTACACCCTAAGAAATGTCAGTTTGCAAAAGACAAGGTACTTTACTTAGGATACTACATTACTGACAAAGGCTTAGAAACTGATCCTGATAAAATTAAACTTATTCAACATTTTCCATTACCCAGTAAATTAAAATCATTACGATCATTCATTGGTTTAGCCCAATTTTATAGACGTTTTATTCAGAATTTTTCTAGCATAGCAATACCTTTGTTCAATTTGCAAAAGAAAGATCAAACATTTGATTGGACTCCAGACTGTCAATCAGCTTTTGAACAATTGAAAGATGCTCTAACGAAAACTCCAACTTTGAAATATCCGGACACCACGAAACCATTTATTTTACACACAGATGCAACATCCATCGCCATTTCTAACATACTCCAACGGAAAGATCCTAAAGGTATCATCCGACCGATTGCATTTGGAGGACGCACGTTGAAACCAGCGGAGAAGAATTGGACAGCCACAGAATTAGAATGTCTTGCTGTGTTAGAAGGATGCAGAGCATATTCGAATTATTTGTCAAACAATCATTTTACCGTTTACACTGATTACATTTCTTTGAAATACATTAATAACTTGAAATTTTCAAACGGCAGATTACTTCGATGGGCAACATTTTTGCAAAAATTTTCATTAGATATTGAGCACGTTAAAGGCAAGCAGAACATTGCTGCCGACACTTTATCACGTGAACAGATTTCAAGTGAACACACAGAAAATGCTGAGACACACTTTGAAAACCATTTGTTAAACATCAGTATCGATAATGAAACAGAAACTTATCATGACGATACAATCCACACCATTCAAGTTAATATTGATCCCACAAATATCATGTTAGATCAAAAACAAGATCCTGATTTTCAATCCATCGTAAAGTATCTCGAGAGGAATACACTCCCAGATGATGAGAAGTTAATGAAGAAAATCCTCGCATTAGCAGATCAATACACAATTTTTGACGATAAGTTATATCATCTCCAATCAGTATCTTCCAAACACTTAGCAGCCATTCAACCTGTTACAAGACAATTATGCATACCCGCTAATTTGCGAAATAATTTATTAAAAGATTATCATGATAAAAATAATCACCCAGGTTTAGACAGATTGTACTCCACATTGAAGCAACAATACTATTGGCTAGGCATGTACACAGATTGTCACAGTTACGTCCGCAACTGCAAAACATGCCAAGAATTAAAGATCATTCCCAGACAACAAAAATCAACTTTGAAACCCCTTGAAGTTGTAGAACCATTCGAACGCGTACACATCGATATCATTGGTCCATTCCCAGAAAGTCCAAAAGGATACAAGTATGCGTTGATATGCGTTGAATCACTGAGTCGCTTTTGCTGAGAAACTTTTCAATGACTATATTCCAAGATATGGAGCAATAAAATCAATATTATCAGATTTAGGCACCAATCTCACATCTCAGATCATAACGCATCTTTGTAAAATTTTTAACATCAAGCACATAAAGACAAGTGCATACTCGCAGCAAACGAATGCGCAAGCAGAAACTTTTAACAAGCACATGCTCAAGCAATAAGATTGTATTGCACAGATCAGCATCAATGGCCATCAATCATTGGACCATTGCTCTTCAGTCACAGAAGTTATGTTGCTACCAATTCAACTAATTTAACACCTTTTGAAATTCAATATTGTAAGGGTTCGGTCGGCGTGCCATAAAGAAAGTGAAAACAGTCGATCGAACTAAGCTCGAGGACGAAAAGAAAAACATGTAAAATATATGCTGTTGACGAACGATTGGCGAGTATAAATAGAAAGAAGTTTATTAGCCAATCACCTGAAACACTTGAGAATATAAATAAGGACAGTCAACAGGCCAAAAAAAAATTGGTTGAGTGGGTGCGTTGGTAACTAGTTCACGTTCGGTTGTAGTTGGTAATTTACTTCGTTGGGTTGTGGCTTGGGACTTTGGTAGGTAGGTACGCCAGAGCTGGATAAGTGTGAGAGAGGAACTTGGCCCTGTCAACAGCTTCATTTCGGTTAACGCGACCACGTCAGTACTTCGTCGTTGGTAGAGTTTCATTTGACGCGTTCTACATCTTCATTTCAGTTAACGCGTCCCGTCAACACTTCGTCGTTGGTAGAGTTCATTTGACGCGTTCTACACCTTCATTTCAGTTAACGCGTCCCGTCAACACTTCGTCGTCGGTAGAGCTCATTTGACGCGTTCTACAGCAACTTTTCTTCAACAGTTTCACTCCAGTTAAAACGTCCAAGTCAACACTTCGTCGTCGGTAGAGTTTCATTTGACGCGTTCTACAGCTTCACTCCAGTTAAAACGTTCAAGTCAACACTCCGTCGTCGGTAGAGTTTCATTTGACGCGTTCTACAGCAACTTTTCTTCAACAGCTTCACTCCAGTTAAAACGTCCAAGTCAACACTTCGTCGTCGGTAGAGTTTCATTTGACGCGTTCCACAACAACGTCTCTTCCACAGCTTCAGTCCAGTTGTTGCGTTTGCGTCAACGCCCGCAACAATAACATTGTCACAATTTTATGATTTCTTATTATTATTGAATTTCTATAGCATTATTATTTATAAACTGAAATTGACTATTATTATGTTATTGTTAGCTCAGGTTATATATCACAAATTATATTCGATTACTTTCCTGTATTATGTTTGACAATTATTAATATTCCTTAGCATCTGTAGTTAATATTCGCTTTCCAGAGCCATTTATCATCGTTATTATTTGTTATCGTTCATGTACTTGAATGATATTATTTCCGTTAGGAACAAATATTTGATTTTGAGCCGACGCAGATATTGAACCCGACATATATGGTAGAAAAATGAATCGTTTTATAGATATCGCTTACTCATCACAGTTAAAACATAATCTGAACATCGATCCATATGTTCAAATGCTAGTAAAACGCTTACAAATCATTCAGGAAAAAACGAAACAGAACGTTATTAATAACCAAATTAAGAGTAAAGCATTTTTTGACAGAGGCAAATCTCCGATCAACTTTGTAGAAGGCAGTAAAGTCTGGCTACTGAACAGAAGAAGAAGAGTAGGAGAAAATCCTAAATTCTATCAAAAATACGTAGGTCCTTTCATTGTAGAAAAAAATGAAGGCTACAATCGATATTTATTAAAAGATATCAGCACTGATAAACCCTTCAAATACACAGTGAACGGTAACTCACTCAAAAAGTTTTGTGACGTTGATCAAGACAAGAACGACAAACAACAAAGCGCAGTCGATTTAACAACAAGAATCATTAAGAAAGTAATTAATAAAACAGTGTTGAAACCCGTTAAATACTTGGTTAAACACACCAACAATGAAGAAGAATGGCTCGACAAACATTTAGTTCCACAATCATTAATAAACGATTATCATTTCAGTAAACGTACAATTTATACTCGATCAATGAGTAAAAATATACTCTATTAAATTAATCTGTTAACTTCTAATATTTTCAGATTATCATTTCAGGATTATCCTACTACTTATCGGCATTGCTAATGCATACGACGACAAAGAATTTCTTGAACATGGAGTGAAATTCCACACCCTCGGTCAATTTCATGTGGTATCTGACTACTATCAGATAGTTATCAAGATGAAAATACCTAATATTTTACTGACTAAACCACAACCAACTGAATGAAAACAAGAAACAATCACAGAAAATAATCCTGAGGCAAAAAAAAAGCCAGGAACAGCACAAAGAGGATTATTCAGAAATCACAAACGTCAAATTGCACAACAATCCTACAACTTTACTCATCCTGCATCAGAGGAATTGATTCGTATCATCATGAATTCCTATCACCAACAGCTAACAAATTTTGTTAAAGACTTTCGTTACATTTTACCTAATGAGAAAAAAGTAACTAAATTTATTCAGAGAAGAGGATTACTGAATGTCGTTGGCAAAATTAGCAAATACTTGTTTGGAACAACAGCTGAAAAAGATTACGAAAAACTTATGAATTATGTGGAACAAAACGCTTTATTCGACAAGGAAGGAAAATTACTTCTCAAGAAAAATAATGAAGAATTTTTAGCTATCAACAAGATCACCAACGATCGCATTGATCAGTTATATGAAGCGCTGCAATTTCAACAGTCTCAATCAACTGTTATTTTCACTGAAATCAATCGAAAGTTTTCAAGTATTGAACACGCATGCACGAAACTTCAACACGTCATTATCAGCACTTGTACGATGAGTTAATTCTTCTAAAACATGCACTATTCAATTCAAAGAAAGATTATCTTGATCCTTACTTTGTATCACCATCACAGTTACGCGAATTTTTGACTAATGTTTCAAGTAATTGGATGATATTAAGCTCGAACATGCAGATCCTGGATCTTCACATCGATCGATATTATAGGTTTCCAAATACTTCCACAATCACACGAGTCGGTGCAGATATTTATTTATTTATTCATATACCATTGACAGATTATGTTGACCGATTTACGTTATATAAAGTTTTATCATTCCCAATACCAATTCCCAATTCAATGCACAGCTCAGAAATTATCAATCTACCTAAGTTTATTGCGGTTTCAAAGAAAAATGATTATTACATGACTTTTGACAAAAGACCAGAAATACTGAATTTTCAGTTTAAACTAGACGACACACTAGTTAAAATCACTGATAATTCATGTGTCAATCTTATTTTTTTCAACAAAATTGATCAAATCCAATTAGAATGCGAGATCATTGTCCACAACGTCAAACCACCACCTAAGATCATATCTCTCAATGACAACAAACTACTGATGATAAACGTTAACGAATATTTAGAGGTCAGTAAACACTATGCTCATCCTCTACCAGGTTGTAATTTTTGCACCATACAACTTTATTGTAACATCACAATAATTTGATGTTCTACCCATCCATTGAAAACTGTGCTAATCGATCACAGACTCGTCGAATTCATTTTGTTAATTACCACATTCTGACAGCTAATCTGGATAAAAATAACATTGAATACACAATCGACACAATCAACAAATTTAATACCAACTTTTCGACCATCCCGAATATTTCGTTTGCAGATTCACCGATCAGTAAACTAAATTTAGATACAAAACTTAAAACTAGTTTAACCTCCATCATGAAGAGAATAAACATTGATGAAGGCGTCAACGACTTTTCTTTTGTTAATTTAAATTTGCAAAAAGTTTTGATTATTGTTCAATTTATCATTAGTGGATTATTTCTCTTAATCATAATTTTTCTTTATTCTAGAATAAGGAAATTGACTTTGATCATCACCTTAATGTGTCATTTCCAGCAAGCATCATCTACCCCTATCACTAGCTAAGATGTTTATAAACTTTTGAACAATGATTGGGGAATCAATGAATTCATTCTAACAAGCGCTATTATTCTTATACTTTTCCACACTTTTTATTTGGCTTATAGATTTTATAAACAACGTATCGATTGACATTTTTTTTATATATATAACAATTCATTGTATGACTATTTTTTTGTGTTAGACGCTTTATGTGTTTTTTATGCATTTAATGTTACACTTCGAAATGTTATTATGTTTTCATATGCTTATGCAGTTCTCGATTGAAATTTTTTCTCTACCATTTCAATTTGAGGACAAATTTATTTTTTAAAAGTGAGGGATATCATGTAAATCAATCAACACACACACACACATACAAAGACTAAAACACATAAAAACACGACTGACGTATTTATTGTTCCACAGAGGGAAACGCTGACGAAAGCTAGACCAATGTGCAGGCATTCTGAGCATAGGAGGTTAGCAATGCACGCAGCGAAAAGCATACACACAGACACATACACAAACAAAGACACATACAGAGAAATACTCAATAAATACTCAATTCATCACGACTGGTATGCAAAGTATTACAGACGAGGTAATTAGATCCATGTGCAACCATTTACGCATGTGAAACTAAGACGCCAATGCGCAGGCACTCTCTCCTATATAAGGAGATGCAGCATTAAGCAGGGAGGGAAGAACAACAGAAGACACACACGGGACTACACGACATACGAGAAGAGACGGGAAGAAGAACAGAAGACACACACGAGTCTACTCGAGAGACGAGACGAAACGGGACGGACACAACAAAACTCACGCAACAGATAGGACTCAAGACATAAAAATAGCTTTTACTCGTAGCATTTATTTTATTCGTATATATTACCTTGTTTTAAAAAAAGAACTGTCAAACTAAAATGGGTGAGTTTGTGTTTAATTCGCTAAAATACAATATTTCTTATCGTCGTAAATAACATAATAACTAAGTCGCGTAAGTCATCAATTTAATTCGTCACCACTATACATTCGTTTAACGATAATCTAGTTTGATAGCGAGCATCACATCAGTGATCCGCTAGTTCCCTGTTCCTATGTGGATACGGTATTCATCGCAACATCAAGATAGAGAACCAGAACTATCTATATGATAATTGTAAATGAGAATGGTGAGCTATCCTAAGGTTTTGATGTTGCAAATGAAACCAAGCAAAGATGTGTTATGGCTCCCTTATTATTAAACATCTATTTCCCCTCAAAGCCATAATGCAGAAATACCGATCTTCTATGGTATAGATTGGAAACATGGTCAACGTCAGATGTTTACAAGCAAAGCCAAAGATGCAGATTGACATTGCCTGTGACCTGTAGTTTGCTGATGATTGTGCACTGGTTGCGCATAAGCAGGATAAGATTCAGACACTGTTCAACCTCTTTTATGTAACAGCCAAAAAATTTGGACTTATAGCCAGTCTGAAGAAAACCGAGGCCTTACACCAGACTATCCAGTCTCAATGGGTGAAGTGGTCTGTGTGTAGGAGATGATTTGCGGTTGAATATTGTAGACAGAATCGGTTATCTGGGTGGATATATCTCCAACGTCGATGACGATATCACAGCAGAGCTTGCAAAAACTAATGCTGCATTCAGTATGCTGAGTGGACGTCTCTGGAAGGAACATGAAGTGACCCCAGCCACCAAAATTCACTGTCTACAGAACGGTTGTGCTCACCTCGCTGTTTAATGGTTAAGAAACATGAACAATATACAGATGTCATGTTTGAAGGCTTGGACAATTTCTCATATCAAGTGGGAAGACAAGGTCCAAAATACGATGAGAAATCATCTGGCTAGCGGACCTGTCCATAGATACAAAAAAATAATCTGAGGGAGAATAAAAAAAATCTGTGACACAATACATCAATTTGACAATGTATTTAATATAAATATATATACTTTTATATATTAAATATTTGTATATAAAATAATTATATTAATTATTTCCATGAAAAAATATAATATAATTATGTTGTAGCGAAGGTAATGTTCGCGATGGTTTCGGCGACGGTGAAGCATATCTAACAGGCGGAACCAATCATGTCAAATTGGCTGATCAGCTTGAACTAACGAATCAACATTTTTATTAAATTACAGTTTAGTTTGGATGAACAGGGCTGGTTTGGCCAAGCTTGCAGGAGCCTAAAGCAGAGAAATAACTTCAGCAATCGAAAGCGGTAAATGCACTGTTGAAAATGTAAAAAACCAGTGATAACATTAATGAAATTCACAGATTGCATGACTTATTGCGGAGGAATATATGCTATTTAGGGTTAACTGAAAACGGTCCCAAATGCAACGATGAATCTTTACAGAACCTACAGAACAGAGCATAATAACATGCAACAACAATGCCTTAGCTAAGTGGTTGCTTGATAACAAAACAATCGTCCGGAGCAACAAAGATGATATCTTAAGATACTGCAAGATAATATAACTGACATACAATATTTGTTGCAGCAAATAGATAATACTGATGTCATCAATGAAGCACAACGGCAAGCCACTCAGGCATCACATGATGAAAGAGTTGCAATTGTTGAAAACAATTCACCGGCACGAGATATTGATATATCATTTATAATGTATTATAATTTGCATGTACTACATCGATTTATTTGTAATAAATATTGCCCCAAATCTAATATTCCCTTTTTGCAAATTTGTAATTTTTTGTCATCGATTTCTAATTTCCAAGGGATACATGAACTAAACAAAGAAGGAAAAGAGGCTAGTTGCAGGACGAACACCAACTGCACCGAGCATATTTTAAGTAGTGCAGTAGAAGAAGAGGTGTACCAAGGCCTCCGCAAAAAAGAGGCAACATCAACTGAGCGTATCTGCTCCGCGGTAGAAAATGCCATTTCGCCCTGCATTGCTACACAAATAGTAAACGCGAGAATCGTTCGTAGGATGTGCAGATTATTTAAGGTTAATGTAAGTCACAAAAAAATTGATATTTATACATCGTCTACTAATTATAACTATAATGGAAAATTAGTAGGACAACTAAT